GAATCAGGATTAAAAAGTGAGTCTATTAATGTGTATTTCGAAATTTTTAGTTGATTTCCATTTTTTTGGTGAACATCTCGATAATTTTTCGACGCCAAAATTCGGAAAAAATTAAAGCAGTCGGATAGGATAGAAATGCACATCACTCGACTCATTTTTTAATCCTGATTCCGAATATGATATTTTTATTGCTCAAAAGTTGAGCTCTGATAAAGAAAACTGAGAATTATGGGCACAATTGAGAATTTTTCAGAAAAATGAATTTTTAAAAAAGCTCTCCGTACGTTTTTTGCCCGTGTAAAGACGAATCGAATGCAGTGTAAATCAGGGCTCCGTCCCTTAAAAGAAAAAACTAGATAGGCTTGCAAAATTTGTTGGCGCCTTTGAAGGTGTCTAGGCCGCGAAAATAGAAAAATTCTTAACTTTTGAACGAAGAGCCATACATCCAAATCCTTTTAGGGTTATCACTAGGACACTATATAGTATCTATCGGCAAACGATTATTGCAATTGGAGTTGACCAGTTGGCGATGGTCCCTCGTAAGCGAAAGTAACTGTCCACTGAAGAAAAACGTGTTTCTTTGTTTGGGAGAAAATAGAATTCTGTGCAAAATTTGCTTCCAGACTTATTAAAAGTGCTGTCTTTTTTTAAATATTTGTTTGAAACAATCTTATTTTAGCTAAAAAACGAAGTTCAAGTTTGTCACGTCTTCATCAATACAGGTAAATTAGACTGACAGTTTTTACAACAAAAGGAACAAAAAAAGGGCTCATTGACGTATATTTCTAGACATCAAATGCAACATTTTATGACCGTTTTGATTAGTTATATTACAAATCAAGTTATTGAAACATCGTGGAATGAATTTATGAAAAAAGTTCAAAATGCAAAACATATTAATGATATTAATCTGGCACATACGGAATATTTAGATAGAACAATGTTAAAGTATGTGCATTAGCTTGAGCTTGAAGTATCTTGAAGACTAAGAATTACAGAAAATGTTTTAATTGTCACATTTCTTTCTCTTAGTTGCTTACTATCACCGCATGCTGCTCCAATATTCAATGAACTTAATCGTGTTCTAACATTGATAATACGTTTTCGTTGTCAATTAAAAACGTTTTCATGGATATTAAATGCGTCCTATAACGATATCTCCAACACTGGTTTACAAGCTCTAACAACAACATTCGAAAAATATCAGATAGCCACTGTATCCTTGTACAAAGGTATCCATAGACTTCTTCCCTTCTGTCAACTCTCTGATTTGTGAGATTATCTATATATATCTAAATTTAACTTTTCTTGTCTTTTAGTTTTGTCGAAATTGGTTGAAAAAGGCTACAAAACATCATTAAGTGATCTTCTTATGCGTTTGAATTACAATAATTATTTCGGTAATGTTCATAAACACCGATGATGAATGACTTTTACAGCGACCCGTTACTTTTTGTAAATCTCGATCGTCAGATGTCTATTTTGATAATTTATCATGTTTTTTGTCATGAATTAGAGTATTTATATGAAAATTTTTTTGTTAATATTTTCTACTTTTATAAAATAAAGATGAATTTTTGACAGCAGATTTTTTGATGAAATCTGGAAATTTTTGACAAAATACAGTTTTGAACAATGCAATTCTAAAATCGATAAAATCAAGTTGATATGAATGTTTTATTACGAGCTACTGATACAAGAGTCGTGAGGATAAGAGTGTTTTTATCTCCAAATGCTTTTAAAAAAATCGATATAGCCGTGATCAGCAGAAAATTCTGAACAAAACTGGTTAAGAGTCATTGCACGAGTGGGACAGACTACCGTGTGAAACAAGGCTTCATCTCTTAAAACAAGAGACTTGATGCTTTTTGAGCTGAGGGTCACGTTGAAAATCTCCCTTGAAAACGAATTTTTTCCCGCGGCTTCGTAGTATACGAAAACTTCAAAATCACATTTTCATATGCATTTTGCAATACGGATTTAGAAAAAAAGTGTTTCAAAGCTCCGAAATGCAATGAGAAAAACTATCGTCGTTTTTCTCGAAGGATGTTCATGTTAAGTGAACTTCAAAAGACGGATTTTCAAAGACCCCTTCAAGAGCCGTATGTGAATCTTCCAAAAAACGACTTTCAGGCATGAATAGTATTGGTCGATAGATTACAGCAGCATTATAGTTTCAACATTTGGGACACTATCGGACGAGAAAATCGAACTGGAAAATAGGCTATTTTTTGTTTTCTATCGAGTTTCGAGCTCAGCCGTGCAACCCAAGAGACTTGTATGGATCGATTTCATTATTCATAGTAGAGGTATACTTGTACAATGGATAGAAGTAACATTCAATGTAATAACAAAGTGTTTAGGTTAAAAAAAATTATGTAAACTGTTTGTCTCAGCAAAATTTTACCATTTTGTGCGCATATGTTTGCACATATGTAAGACTTATTTTTTCACATTCTCTTGGTTATAGATAGTATTCGACCTCGACTACTTATGCTGCAAATATGAGCTCTTAATTAACTTCCTAGACCAAGATATAAATATCACATTTGACTTTCATACAAGTATCGTTTTAGGCTATTTTTAGGGCTTTTACAAAAAGCTCTATAACTTTTTAACGAAGTAAGTCTGAATGATAAAATGTTGGAAATCTTCCTAATTATATTAGAGCTACCTACTATGAAAGTTTAAGCGAAAAAGTCAAACATCGATTGAGCAACTTTCAGCGTTTCACTCGTGCAGTGCTTAAGAGTCATTGCACGTTAGGGACGACCGAAGTTGCTCAATCAATGCCTGACTTTTTTGTTCCTATTTGCACAGTAGGTAGCAGCGACACACTTAGGAAGATTTCCAAAATTTATTGATCAGAACTTACTTTCTTTAGAAGTTGTGGAATTTTTCATAAAAGCCGTACAAACAGACCGAAACGATAACTATGTAAAAGTGAAATTTCTTTTGTTTATATCTTGGTCTAGAAACATACACATCTACTTGGTCTAGGAAGTAGATCATTGGAGCATAAGTAGTCGAGGTCGAGTACTACCTGTAGTCAAGCGTATGTGCAAAAATAACTATCGCGCATGTGCGAACATATATACACAACAAGGAAGAATTTTACATACATAAAATCACTCAAGATATAGTTTAGAACAGTTTCATAATGAAGAAGATGACTTTTTTTGTCAAAAGGCAAAGAATTTTGTCTATAAAAATCTTATTTAAATACAAATGAGACCCTTAGACAGGTCAGGTTTCGCTTGGATCAAAAGTGGTACTCATCTATGATAAATAAAAGAATTTTTTTATTAATTAGCAAAATGAATGTAATATTCGTAATCAGCATGATCGATTACGTATATTTTGACAAAAGTTGCACGCTAAATTTGAAAAAGAATTTTTTCGAAAATCTGATTAATCGGTTTCGTTCAGAAGTTTTTACTGATCACGGCCATATAGATTTTTGGAAAAGCATTTGGAGATGAAAAACACCCTTGATCCCACGACTGTACTACGTCCTTTGCTAAGTTTTATTGGTAAGACCGAGAGGCTAGAAGGTAAGAGATGGAATTTTTCACTTAATGGCAAGCGATAAAACACAAAAGACTATATGGAATCAAGATACAATTATTAATAAATTGTTTTACATTTGCGTATTCTTGTTATAGTTGAAGATAAGTTTCTATTATCACTGGTACCATCTCTAAATGGAACAGTGACAGCAGAAGGTTTTCAATCTAATATTGATGTTGATGACAGAATGGCAATTCAATTATGCAATCGAACAGTTGAAGAACGTGGGTTTTAATAAAGTGAAATATTATGAAGAATGTCTGAAAGAAAATGTTTAATGATAGTGATGTTCTTTTTTTATTATTTCAAATATGGTGCACAATTATTCGCCATCGAAAGTAGTGGCAAAAAATTTCTGATAGGCAGAACACCAGAAAATTTCTGTAGCACAAACACTAAAGTTTTCGATAAAAAGTTCGAAAACGGTTTTTGGATGGCTGATGTGTGGAGGCAGTCCTCTTCTTATTGTGAACCGTGATCTGAAAATAGCTTCATGACAAATTCACAGTTTCATCATAAAGAGGTATTGATAAGTACTGAAACAGTTGCATGAGCAAATCAAAACACAGAAGTTGTTTCGTTGACGGATGTTATACTTTTATATTCAGACAAATAAACCTAAAACAGGAAAACGGAATTCTATTTTTATTATCCTATTTGTTCGAACGAAATTTTCTTCAAATTATCTGAGAAAAAAATATTTATTGTAAAAAAGAACTGACGTCGAATAGTAATTAAATTAAACTGTGTAAATTCGTCTGATCAGAACAATCGACACATTATTAACCTACAAAATAAACTCGATATTCCAATTTATTTACTATTTGCCCCATATATACACTGTGTTGATCTTATCAATAAGAGACGGAGAAATCATTTTCTGCTCATCTTTCGAATTCCATTTATAAAACGCGAGTATCATCCATCCAGCACTCTTTTTATGAGAAAAAAATTATTTTCTCATTAGTATAGATAAATTAAACTTGGAGAAGGAAAGAAAGAGAGAAAGAAGAAAAACAAATATACAGAATAATGTTGGTTTTTTAACGAAGTATTTTAACATAATCTGAGACGATATTATGACGTGGATAGTGTGGATATGAATTTATTGTTGGCAAGAAGAGTCGAGGAAATATTAGGGATAATATTTAACTCTTTAAAGTACAAGTGGATAAGTTCAACTAATTGCAGAACATATCCGGTATAATATACAATTCTAAGATTTTTTATTTTAGTTGGCGTACCCTACTTATTAAATATTCCGTTATATCTGAGTAAAAGTCGCCAAAATAATCAGGACCTCAAAACCCTCTTTATCTTTCCTACCACTCGAGGGATGTAAATTTCGCTAACGAAATTTATTCTTCCTATAAGGCTCCCATTTAAATGCTAAGTAGTTTTTATTAAATGCTAACTAAAAAGTTATTTTTTTTCTAAGTCATTTATTAAATATAATTATATCTTTTAAGAAACAAGCAGAAATGTGGTTTAGTGGCTCATTCTCATGCTCTATACGCACGCACACACCCCTCACCGTCCCCAGTCACACAAAAATATAGCTTACTAAAGTAGGAATTAACTTAGCATTTAATAAAAACTACTTAGCAAAAAAATAGCAGTCGTTCTATAATAATCGTTATACATTTTAGAAACTGGTTGACAAAAAACAAAAATATGACAACTTATAGGATATTTATTCGAGTTCAATAAATGATAGTAATGAAAAACGGAATCTTGCTTAAACCCATACGAAGATTTTATTCGGTACGGAAACGAGAACTTTGCCTCTGTATCAAGGGCTTGGCAAAGGCCTTGAATCTTTTTTGATGACGTTCAAACATTAGATACTAACATAAGCGAGCGATCAAACGCATTACATTTTATGCATCTGCAGAACATTTTTAAGGAAAAGAAAGGAAGAGATTGGAAAGAGAAGAAAACAAATTTGTTGAATGTAAACAGCCAATAAAAGAGCCACTTAAGGAAAATGATCAGGTAGTCTGAATAATATGTCCTTGTACAAATCAAGGGTTCTAACGAATAGCAAATTTTATTATGGCAGACAATGAATTAATCAAAGCGTCGAGACTCTTGAATGTAAGTAAACACAACTTTGGCTAACGTTTTTATAAACTTCAAATTTAAATATTCTCTCAACAGAAAAAGCTCTAAGGCGAACAACTTTGATATTTTATGCAAGAGAGAGCTTTTTCTCGTATACAATGTCCGGGATAAAACGGTTTTCAAGATTCACTAATCTTCCACAGTCGCATTTATCAGGATCATTGAAAATGTCGTTTCACTAAAATTAGAGGTAAAAAGTCTATGCATGATCGAGTGTTTATGAACATTACCGAAATAATTATTGTAATTCAAACGCATAAGAAGATCACTTAATGATGTTTTGTAGCCTTTTTCAACCAATTTCGACAAAACTAAAAGACAAGAAAAGTTAAATTTAGAT